TGAGGCAGCAGGGTGGTGGCCCACCTTGCGCCAGACTAACTGCCCAAATTTCACCAGCACTACTGTGAGAGGAGAAGAGATAAATAACATCAATCAGGTAATTTCCAATGCGTGTGTGTGTACACACAAATGAGGACCCCAATGCATGTGAGAAAGGCCTACCAGAAGTTTCCTATATCAAGATCCAGCAATGAATATTTGGGAGCCTTCCCAGTCTGGTCACCCTCAAATCGCCTTTGCTCCAAGCCTGCAACCATTTCTTTTAACACAAATAGTTAGTCCGGTTAAGTAGCCATTTTCACTCCTATCAATTTAGATCACATTTTAAATATGTGTACCTGTGAGGAATTCTTTCCGTAATGCCCCTGTATCAATTCCTGCCTCTCCGATAAATGTGACCCTCAGCTGATTTGTAGGCAATGCCTTTTTTTGCCTCTTCCACTGTGCAAGTCCCCGCTCCACCATATTGGATCTTGAGACAGTTCCTCTGTATTCACAGCAGTACTTATGGCCTGCAGGATTTCATCCAGGCTAATGGAGAAAAACTCGCAATTACAAACATGATACTGGAAACCATGTTGTGTGTATTCATGTGTATTCTTTAAGGTCTTTTAGGTTTTAAACTGAATTGTGTCACCACCAGCAGTATGTGACTTTGACCTAACAGAAGAAGAAAATGCAGTAGACAGGCTAAGCCTTTAGGTAGCTGGATTCCTTTACACGAAGGGTACTTGGCAGAAATTGTTTGAAAACCACTGTACAGAGCATTGAAGAAAGACTACTGATGTGTACAAACCTAGAAATGCCCATGCTTTGTTGTGAAGGTAGGTTTGCATTGCTGTAATGAAAAAATGCCAGAGTGAAAACCACATCACTTGACCTCAAACATGTACTGTACAAAAGCAACAAATAAAACAATACCTTTAAAACTTAAAAGAGAACTTGTGTCGTTGTCACCGTGTTGTAATATAACATGCCATAACATTTTTAATTGTTTAAGTCTTACAGAAGTACCTGTAAGACTTAAACAATTAAAAATGTTATGGCAACAATGACAAAACCTAATGCAAAAATCCCCCCAAAGTATAACATACATGGCACAATCAGTAACAAAGCATAAAATGCTGTCTATCAAAATATAAATTAATAGGCGGAAAGCAAAAGGCTTGTAGGGAAATTCTCAAACATACGTTGGAAGCCATATTAAAAGACTGCTTTACCTCTCACAACACTCGCTTGCATGTGCCTCCACCTCATTCTGAGGAAATGTCTCACCGCAGACAGGGCACACAATCTGTAACAGGAAACAATATG